GAGTTGAATACTTTGATGCATTTTCTTTCTGTCTCCTTTTCTGTATTTGTATACATTAAAAAAATGAAACTCGAATCATATTATTTCTATATTTCTTAACAAATGTGATGCCATAAGTATTTCTTCATGACATCATTCTTTTAAAATGTTACTTTAATAACTATGTGATAGTCCATTGTATATGTACTATAATTTACACATACTCCTCCTTTTTAACAATATTTAGATTATTTCTAAATATTTCCTATTATGACTAATCCTGCCATGAGCAATCTTACACATTTGATACTGTATTTAAAATGAGGTTGATCAGGTGACAGGGATATTAAAAGCCTACACTTCTCCACTATGCAATTCAGCCATGTAACAAAAAACCACTTGTACCTCCTAAATCTGGTTAAATAAAAAAAATAAATAAAAAGTACAAAACTAATCCTGGGCTAGGTCCCAGGATAGCAAAGATAAAGTTCAATGCTTGCAATCAAGGAAGTCACCTTCCAATGAGAAGACAGATATAGAAACAAACAAGTGCCACCATGTACAACGACCTCTAAAACAAGGTAATTTTTCTAGCCAATGTTAAGACTGTTAAAAATTGTTTTCTCAAGTACATAACAAAACATAGCCCCTAAGTCAGAGGAGAAAAAAATGAATCAAATTAGCAGAGTTTGTGTTATTAACATTAAATAATCTACTCAGTTTGTGTGAAAATTAAGGACAGCATTAGCAGATTCTCTCAAAGTTGAACACATTAATGAGCACCGCCAAACATTCTGCTCTTCTTCCAACTTTTGCATTTTGGGGAGGCTGCAATACAGGCTAATTTACAGTAAAAGAAGTGGCTGACTGTCAATTTATTTCTAAAATCCACATGCACAATACTAAAGCAAAATGAAGAGTCTGCAAAGAGTATCTCTGCTGCCTCTTTAATTATTGAGGTGCCAAATAAGTATGTTTGAAAACTTATGGCAAAGAATTAAAGCAACATCCCGCACTATACAAACATATTAATAAATAACTCAAAATATTGAAAAATTAGTTTGAAATGGTCTAAATAGTACTAACTCCATAATAATTTGCACTGAATCGAAGATGTCAATTTTGTTTCTGCCAAGTCTTGTTTTAAAACAGCAATAAATTTTGCTATTTGTTCAGAGTGAAAAAAATAAATAGAATGAGGTTCAGACTCATGTCTCCTTCATACGATATAGTTCATAACAAATACTGCACCAACCTGTTACTTGAGTAGGCGCGATCACTTGGCTGGCACTTGATGTAGAAGCTTCAGGAGCTATTTCAACAGGCACAGGAGGTGATGTTTTTTCAATCACTACTGTATGAGGAAGTAGGGGATAAAAAGAAAAAGGCTGTTATGTGCATTGAGATCACATTTCAAAATGCAAGCATGATCTATTCTAGCAATATATCATAATATTCTTGGATATAAAGAACTGTTATAGGTCCTGAAAGCTCATGGGGGGATTAATTTATTGCTCAGGTTTCAATATTTAGCGAGAATATCTGAGAGTGACTCAGAAGCCAAAAAAAAAAATGACCATTCATCACATATGATGACTTTCAATAATGTCTGAATAGTATATACTACTCCTGACCACAGAAAATAGTGAAAAAATTATCTTTCCCATTATAATACTTATAACACCATGCACTAACATTATGAGTATATCAAGATACTTGTGTACATTTTTCACATTTAACTTAAATTATGAATTCTAATGAGTTATTAAAATTAAAGACAAAACATTCCTCTCTTAAGATTTTATTTGGAATATTCTTACAAACAGCACAGATCCACACAGGCTACCTGGAAACTGTGGATGCAGATGAATAGTCGAAATGCCAGGAGAGAGCTGGGGTTGACCAGGCTCAAGTTTGGTTTTTTCTTGATCCAATGAAGGTATTTCCTGGAGGGTTGTATTGAGAGAAAGAGAGGAATTGAAAGTGAGAATTATTTTTAGTTTCCCACACATCACTATTTTTATTTAATTAATTATACTCTTACAAAGACAAAGAAATGTCATAGGACCTTATCTGTATAACTGTGTGGAATTTAAAAAAAACAAAACTATTGTTGTGGTGCTACTATGGCAAGCCCTTTAGTTTTTCCAGCAGTGCTGATCCATGCACATATTCTCAGCCATTTCCCTGAGGCCCAAAATTAGATCTTTTCAGTAACATATGAATTGGCACATTGGTCCATATTTGGTCTGCAACAGGGCACAACTAACCCCAGAGGAGGACTAAACCTTCACCTCATTCACATGTGGCTCTCTGCCCCACTAAGATTACCAGCCATGCTTTGCAGATTAAATAATGGATATAGCAGAAGTGTCATTGCAAAGAAGGCACAGTAAGATAAAATAGTTTAAACCAGTCAGTCATTAAGGCTTCCCTTAACCTCACATCTGATAACTTTACAACTCCAGCTCTCTGAACAATGGTTGTCATCCAGAGCAACAGAAAACTGCTGTCCTGGAGGAAGATTTGTGGCTTCCGCACATGTGTGGTTGCCTATTCTTGTGCCCTGGACCTCAAGCAAAGAAGCAGTCCACCATCCATGGCTCGGCTTCCAACAATTAGCCTGGTGAAGGATCTGTGACTTCACCCACACCAGAGTGGTACCAGAGAGCTCACACCATCACTGCATTAAAAGTATTCATCAAGTTATTGGTCACTGTCATCTCCCGGAAAGCTTACTCCTCTGGCCTCTGTTAACCTCTTTTCCTCTCCCCTGGCTTCAATTGTCATGTCTTTTCTGTTTCTCTAAAATAGCCTGTCTGAATATCTCATCACAGATCCAATTTTGTTTAAGTGTGAATGCTTGCAGAGTAAATTCATTTAGATATTCCACAGACACCTCAAAAATCCACCTCCTCCAGAACCATTCAGGCTTTCATTCCAACTTCATCGTTTCTGCCAATGCCACAGTCATTAATCTGTCTCATTCAGGTTTAAAGTCACTCTTTAGTCCTTCTTTACTCTTCATTCCAAGCCCTGCCCCCTTGGCACTATTTCTTAGAGTTGTTTACCCTTTTCCACAAACATAGACCCCACAACCCCAGGCTGGACTCACTCTCTCATTCTTAGTTTATTGTAATAATCTAAATGGCCTATCAGGCTTCCTCTTTTCTTCCTACCTCAGTTAATCCTATCAAAATTCATCTACCAGAAATACTGAGCACTTATTACTTCTCCCACATTTCCTCCTCTTCTTAAGAATACAGATAAGCTTTCTATTACCTATTAGGGATGACCTCAGCCAGTCTCAATTGTACCCCATGGCCAATGCCAATAAGGAACAGACCATGATCAAGTGCTAATCCACTCCTACAGCTCACAGACAAAATCTCCCCCATTAGCATGAGGCAGCAGACTTCCTAATCTACACCACCTCTCCATTTAGTAGGTAAGGTCCAGTTGAGAAGCAGGGTATTTTCCCAATGATTATGACTGCAGTTTGGTGTTCCAAGCCTACCAGAGCATCCCCCAATTTTTTGTCTAACCAAGTGTTTCATGACCCTTGCTGTCCCATCCACCACACCTTTGCACATGTAATTAACTATCCCTGGGCCATCCTTCTTTCTCTTCATCCATCCCATAACATCATGAGACCTTTGTGAGGTACCATGCCTGCAAAGATTATAATTGTATTTTTCCTACTACCTCCTCCCCAAATAAAATGCTGTAAAAGTATATACAAGAACATTTTCAGGATGTCTTTCAGATTCTTAAGAAGAGTTACTATAAACGTGATCATAAACAGAGAAGAACTGAGTCATCCATACTGGCTGGCCCACTCACAAGCTAAACAATTCCTCCCGTATATCAACCAGAACTGTCCAAAATCAACAAAATTGCAAACTACTCTCCATCACTGATCTTCAGAGAGGCTAAGAGCTGCAAATGTGCATGTGAAGTATTCACATCTGTTGTACTTTCTTTGGGCCCAATATAACTTCCTTTCATGACTGCTATCACTCCAAAATCACAATTCTCTTTTTCTTGATTCTTTCAGTACTTATCTGTTACTCTACTCCACATTTATAAGCTAAAGATTTTAAAAACTATAATCATTTATGTATGTCTTGTCCACATCTAAATTCTAATAATGCATCCTTGTCAACTGAATGAATGGCATATAATGTATAAACATTTAATAATTACCTAATTTTCATGTTATCATTAAATAATCAAAGCAAGATTCAGAGAAGGAACAATATTATATATGTAGGACTCAGATTCAGCAAATGTTTACATTTCCTACTAAAAAATCTCATAATTCATCGTCCCATTTCATGCCCAAATGCCAACAGATTGATAAAAATTTCTCTAAAATTTCTTCACCATCAAATTGGTTTTAACTGATCTAC